GGGGGGAAAGAAAGCCCCGTTCGTAAGCTGCTCCGGTGCACCTGGTCTGCTGGAGACCGTCTCCAGCAGACCAGGGGCACTGGGCGGGTTCCCGCGCTTCTGAGGCTTTGCTCTGGACCGTCCCCAGCAGACCACAGGCACCCGGACTGAAGCGGCAGCAGCGGCGGGTTCCCGTGCTTCTGAGGCTTTGCTCTAGCAAAGCCTCAGAAGCGCGGGAACCCACCCGGTGCCCCTGGTCTGCTGGAGACAGTCTCCAGCAGACCAGGGGCACCGGAGCAGCTTACGAACGGGGCTCTCTCACCCCGGAGCTCGCAGGTAGCAATCCGCCACCTCGACCTCCGGGGCGAGAAAGCCCCGTTCTTAAGTGCGGATCCGACTTAAGTAAGTCGGGGACTGCCTGTAATTCAAACAGAATTTCTTCCATGCAAGCCAGTCATAGTCACTTGTATCACAGCTCCAGATGACAACAAAGGACCTCAGCAGGCTCAATCTAAAAGTTCCTCACAATGACACCACTTGCTTTTTGCTGTTGGCTATCCGGTAAACCTATTAACTCAAAACAAGACAATTCACACCTCAGCACCTCTCACGGTATCCAGACTCTCTGCAGGCGATCATCAATAGTTTCATCTGACTATATCCCAATGTACCAAGCAGGAAATAGATGAGAAAACCACAGAACAGAAAGACAAGTGTCATACAGCAGAGAGCCTTTGCCCTTTCCAGCCACCCCCTCTCTCTGAGATGCTATATCTCTCTATGCTTGGCCCCGGGCTGCCCTGGAAAAGCAGGGCCAGAATGCTTCTGGGCTTCCCCAACCTCAGACCATAATTGGTCTTGGGGTGGGAGAGCCCCATTGGTCCCCACTTCCCACTAGGCACTCATGCCCCTATCAGGGTGGGAAGAAGCTTCACACACTCCCCTGCCTCCAGGCCCTGATTGGCTTGGGGGAGTGGGTGAAGCTTGGCCCCGGGCTGCCCTGGAAAAGCAGGGCCAGAATGCTTCTGGGCTTCCCCAACCTCAGACCATAATTGGTCTTGGGGTGGGAGAGCCCCATTGGTCCCCACTTCCCACTAGGCACTCATGCCCCTATCAGGGTGGGAAGAAGCTTCACACACTCCCCTGCCTCCAGGCCCTGATTGGCTTGGGGGAGTGGGTGAAGCCTCTTCCCGCCCTACCTTCACCCTGCAAGGAGCATGCAGCACTTCAAAGAGCCATGCACTGCTAACAGGGCTGGAGGAGACATCACACACTCCCCCACCCCCAAATCCTGATTGGCCTCGGGGCAGGGGAGCTGTGCGAAGCTTCCCTCGCCCTGCTCCTGCACTGTGCAAGTATATGGCACTTTGAAGTGCTGTGTGCTCCTCGCAGGGCGGGGGGAGGAAACTTCGCACGCTCCTCCTGCCTCCACGCCAATCAGGGCTTGGGGGTGGAGGAGCATGTGATGTCTCCTCCTGCCCTGCGAACAGCACACGGTGCTTCAAAGTGCTGCATGCTGCTCATAGGGTGGGAGGAAGCTTCGCACGCTCCCCCTCCCCCAGGTCCTAATTGGCCTAGGGGCGGGAGAGCAGCAGGGCCTCCATGGGCCAGATCAATCCATTTGGCAGGCCAGATCTGGCCCTCCGAGACCTTTTTGCCCACCCCTGCTCTACAGTGAAAATAATGGTTGCATATAGTAATAACACATTTACTTTTTGGACTATTTCTTTTACTAATTATGATGGAGAATCACGCAATAGATTGTGATTTTGAGAATCTCATCATTTAACAAGCAGCAGGTTGGACTTGTTGTAATTTACTTGTTTTCCCCTAATTATTGTATCTAATTGTTTTCTTTGGGTTGGCAGTCTCTCTCTCTTTTTTTTTTAAAGTGTTACTTCAGGCTCTCTTTATTATTTGGTCAGGTTAAGTTAAGAAAAAAGTTCCACACAGAACTTAAATATTAAAAAGATGGCTGATATCTGCAATACAATCCTTCTGATATTTTTTCTTAATCATACAGATTAGGTGTCTTGACACAAGATAAGTTTGTATTCATGTTCCTATAATGGTATGCTTCCACCACAATAGTAAAGGTGCCAATGTATTTTTACCAGAAGGTTATGAAAAACTGCTCTGAGATGGTTTGCCTGATGGCGGCATGGAATGTCTCTCGATTTGTTTATTTTAACTTAACTCTGAAACTGATAATATCACCTTGTATTTAGTCTTGGATGTTTCACTCAGTCAAAATCCTTCTCTACACTAGAAAATAAAATACAGAACAAGCTGACACAATGGTATACTAAACACAGGCCTCACAACCACTATCATCAGGCAAATGCCTAGAAAAGAACACACCGTGCTGGTCAGTAAATTTAGGTTCTGTGAGACCAGTGAGGGAAACAATTTCCAGAGAAAGAGAACCTCCCTTGAGAATTACCTACTTCCAGTCCATTCTTACATGAAAATCGTAGGGATTTCTTAGCTAAGACACTCCAGTTTGAGCTCAAACTATTACAGTGTTGCACACAGGAAGAGAAAGTTTCAGGTATCCTGAACCCAGACCACATACGGTTCTAATCGTACTAAACATCTTTAATTGCATTTAGAAGTAAACTGGAAGCCCATTGTAACTGCAACATACCTTCTGCAGTTAGGTCTGCTATGTAAATGAATAGTTATATACTGCAACAGCTGAAACGTCTATGCTTTCAAAAGTAGCTCCACCTATAGCACATGGCAGCAATCCAATCTGCAATCCAGTCAAAAAGCTATGAGGCTAGTTAGAAGAACGATGTCTAGAGATAAATTCAAGTAAAAGTTTGCAATTGCCTAGCAAACACAGATGATAAACAACAGGTCTTTGGGGCCAGTTGTGCTCCCTGGAAAGCCAGGTGCAATATGGTTATCCAGAAGAGCATCAGATTACATACCTCTTTTACAAAAGGTAGGAACATGCCTTCAAAAATGGGAGCAAACATATCACCATCACACCTCCCAGATGTTTCTATAAGTAGCATCCCATCTTACTTCACTCAGTTCTCTATGTCTGCCAGGTATGAGAAAAAATAGGGAGCCACATAATCCTAGTGGCATAAGACAGACCTACAGCTGTATATTGTAAGACTTCCTCTGCAACTTTACTTACACAAAAGAGTATTCTCCTCAAAAAGGGACCTTGAGATGGTTTAATATCAATCCCTGGGATTTTTCTGAGAAGAAATAATGGAACCACAGGAAGCATGAACTTAATCTACTGCTTCAGTCATGGTCCACAAGTGAGTTATTAAAAGCTTGCACAGCTCTCCAATAAATCTGACTTCTAGGAATGCTGGGAAGCGTTCAGCATTCTGTTACACAGCTGGAAAGTATTTTGTTAATTCAGCCTATCAAAAAATCTTCAAAATGTGATAAAAACTCTTACTGTAAATTATAATCCTTCACTTAAAAGTAAGCAACAGCAAAGTGCCAGCTCCTGCCCTTCCCCATCCAATTCAGCTCAATGAGGTAAATTCACCTGGGCCATTTAAATGGACAGACAGACAAAGCTTGCTGGTTTGCATATGTGATGTGAGATAAGCTGCCTGAGCAGAACAGATGTAAAGAGAATGGCTCAGCTAGGCACAGGAGGAGCATGGTCACCACAGCACTTACTGCTGATGTTGGAAAGATGCAGCTTTTGCTGCTCCGTGCTTATTGGTCCTGCAGTCATGATCAGGAGCAGAGGCATTGGCAGCCTCACCTTCTTGAGCTGCAGACTGCTACTGGGTCCTGAGCCTAGTGCTCAAGAGAACAACAATTCTGTATTGCAGCCAGCTTCTGCATCAGCACAACAGGGAAAGCCTACATGTGCTCTTCTCTCCCAGGGCACCCATGCAGGCCCTAACATTGTCAAACTTCAATTTGTCATGAAAGTGACTGAAAAAGTGGAATTCTGGGAAACCATGTTTATTGTCTCAAGGATTTCTGTGTCAAGTGAGCTCAGGAGCAGCCCATGATTACAGGCGGACTCGGACACTGCCTAGGGCGCCGCCGCCCAGGTCGCCTGATGACGACGTCACGGGGCACCTGGGGTGCCCGATGATGACGTCAGTCCATTGATTGCACTGCAGGCGTGGGTGCCGATCGCGCGTTCCGCCTGGGGCGCCAGCTGCCACAGCCACCCTCGGGCTGCTCCTGAGTGTGCTCAGCTGAGAAACAGGGCTTTCTCTGCCAGCCAAACTTAGCTTGGGTTCTTACCTTCTAACATATCACCAGCAATAAATAGTTCTACAGGATAAGCTCAGCTAAATTGCATCTGAAAACACCAATGTGTCCAGACTATGCCTTCAGTGACTACTTTGCAACCTATCTGCTTCAATGGGCTTGCACAATATAACTGACTAGAATTTAGTAAAACAATTCTGCTGATGTTACACAAGGTATAGAATTCTGCTCATTCCTGCCTAGCTGCATTGGCTCCGCCTGTTAAAGAGCCAAACAATAAAACTTATTTTTGTAACAAAAGAGAACAAAGGGTCTCAGAATACATGTATAGAATAGTTCAGTGAACAGCAGAATGCAGATCGATATTCTCACTATTCAGAGTTGTCACAGAAGCAGTACTTTTTCCTATAATATAAGGACATTAAATGCTATATGAATGCAGATTTTAAGATTATGAGTTTAAACACAGTAGATGGAATTTTGAAAAGAGCCTAAGGGAGTCAGGGACCTAACCCCCATTATCTTCAAATAAATTTTACATAAAACAAAAAAAATGATTAACAAATGTAATATGCTGCTTATAACTATAACGTGTATGACTATAAGCACAACTGAAGGGGTTAGAGATGATTATCTGTAACTTAGTGATCTAGTGGACTCTAACAACTGATTAACCATTTAATTAATCACTTATTAACCTGTCGCAAACTATGCATAAATGGAACCTTATATGAAGTATGACCAAACATCCTATCCCCAAATGTTAAGATACTGAAAAGTTAAGCTATGTGCACAGATGCAGGCAAGGGTCCTAACAGATTTTTCAGTCAATGGATTATTAAATGCAATCAAAGGAAGCAGTGTCTTCAAACAAACCACTGTGGTTTATGCAACAGCCATGAATGGCTATAAACTACTACTTTTGTATTATTTTTTTAATAGCATTGTGAAAGTTAAAATGCAAATCTACATAACTAACATTTTTATTCTGTGAATTTCTTAATCTAGATGAATTGAGTATCATTAGAATAGTTTGCAGCCCACCTCGCAGTTCCTCAGACGTCGGGCCCATGCAGGAGTGTTTGGGGGCAGCGGCTGGAGAGGGACAGGGAAAAGGTCTTCCCCTATTCTGAAAAATAATGCAACAAACATATAGACAGATCAAAACAGTGACATCAAAACCAAAGTAAAAGTAATACTGTAAAAGCTCTGTTAGTTGGCACTCAATTAATCAGCATTTTTTCTCTCTCCCAATACAAATATTCAATCTAGTAACCAGGAATGGTATACTGCCCAGCATGTTGCATATTCCGCATGTTACTTTTACACAAAAGAAAGTTGCAGAAAACAAGAAAGCAAGTAGAAATCAGAGATTTATTTTAAAAAGCAGCTTCCAGAATGTGTCTTAGCGTAATTATACATTCAGACCTATCTTCTACACTTCATCGACAAGGATAATTGATGTTGATTAAGATGACCCTGAGGCCCTGCAAGATTCTAAAGTGCCTTCTGAATCAAAGAAAAATTAAATTACGTTCAACATAGTTTTAGTGTTAAGGGTACTTTTAGCCATCTGGGTGTACACCATGTGCTGCCCATAGTGATATGTATTGTCATAAGACAGTCTACTGTATTGAAAACTTTACCTGTGTACACCTAAGAGTTTCAAGAAACCAACTACTCTGCAGTGCAGTGCTACAACTGGATATTATTTTATACTTCATTTATTTTATTGTATTTTAATTTTCAAACCACTGGAATACCAATTTTCAAAGTATAACCTTCAATTAAACAGAATATTTGATTAATTGGCACTTTCCCACTCTCCCATCATGCCAGATGACAGAGATTTTACTGTATATGATTCCCTTAGTCAATATCCTCGTAGTGTGAGGTAAGTTAACTTTTACTGCTCAACTGTAGACATGGCAATAACACCTATAACTGACAATTATCTTTAGAAACTTATGAAAAAAATTCTTCTCACCATGACTCATAATTAAAACTACACAGGTACCAACAATGCTATATTTTAAAACACCATTTTCTCTGGCTTATGAATTCTCCAATTTACAGAATTCAGCAAAGCTTCAGAGACCCGAGGAAGAGTTCTGTGCCATTACAAAGCTTCTCTCTCAGCAACAGAAGCCGATTTAATAAGTGATATTACCTCACCCACCGTGTGAATACAAACCATGTAACTTCCTGATAAAAATCACAGCTAGAATACTTTTAAAACATACTGGTGGAGTTTGTTAAAGATTTCATTATATAAGGAAGTCTATGATAGAATTCTGGAGCCTACACTGACATTGAATACATGTTAAATGTTACTAGTTTTCAAATAGCAATTCTCAGTAATTTAAGAATTGCTGTACCAAAAAGTGCTTCATATAAGCTTCATGGTGACCAAGAGTCAGATTTTGTTTCTAGCTCCCTTAATCTACCAGGATCTGTCTATCACTCTAAGACCCAGGTAAATCACCTACTGCCATCACAAAGACCCCTAAAAATACAACTACTTGTATATTTGGCTCTTAGGATATTTTCCCTCATAACATCTCAAAAACTTACATAGTCAGACATCTATTCACAAAACATGTTTACTACATTTTAGAGACATCTTCAATATAGTCAGTCCATTTGCAAAACATTATGCTGTAGTGCCAAGGATATAAAAATGGCCTAACATGTTTTCTCTCTCACCAAATCCTTATGTAAGAAGGCAGTCTTACCAAATATTGCACACACAAAAGAAAAGGTCAAAATTACAATTTGTGGAGATTTTCTCTTATTTAAATACAAATTAAGTATATGAAGAGAAATGCTAATTTATTCTCAACTAAAAGTACTAAAGGCATAGTGTATTGTATATTGGAACCAAAGAGATAAGAAAGAAGTGAGAAAATAGCTTATTTTTAATTTAAAAAATTGTGCTGCATTAATATGCCTTTCAAACGTCACTTATAGAAAAACTCTCTGTTAGCAAAGATTTCATCACAGATTTTCAGAAGTCCCTGAAAAGAGCTGAAATAGGGCTTTCCCATTGATACCAATGGTCTCTCTGGCTATGTCTACAGAGCAGTGTTATTTCAGAATAAAGAGTGTGTCTATACAGCAAGCCATTACAAAATAATGGTGAGCTGGAAGATTTCTTACTCCGACTCCTATAACCCTCATTTCATGAGGAGTAAGGGAAATCGAAGGAAGAGTGTTCTCCTTCGACTTCCTGCTGTGTACACAGCACCAAAAGCCAAGTTTAGCAATTGACATAGTTCAAATTGCATAGCTTAATTCGACTTTTGCCCTGCTGTGTAGACATGCCCTCTATGTCTAACTGCCTGAGTTTTTTTCAAATTCCATTTTAAGATTCAGCTTTTCTCTTTGGCGTATAATTCCTAATAAATTTCCGCCACCACTGTGCAAATATAAGAAACTCTACTCAGCTTCACAATTCAACTGAGTCATTTTCAGATTTTATTTACATCAGTATTAATCCAGAGTAACTTTAAGTATTTAAATGGAATTATTCTGAATGTACGCCCACATGAAATCAGAATACACCTCTTGCCTCGAGCTGTGGCACATCTACAGCTATTCCCTGGCATGATATATTGTAGGCTGTAATATGTAATTCAATAGTATTTACAGACTGTAATCACTTGTGGAGTTTTCGGTGATAATGTTGCAATAACTCAAGTACAAAAAAGAACTGAAATCAATGATATAACCAAATATATGTGACTGTGGTGCAAAGTGATATTTGATCTGCTCTTTACCATCTCACCTACCTGGTTGTTGTCTTTTTGGACACCGTGAGAGATGTTTGTGGATGAAGTATGTAACGGCTTGTACTGTCTGCTAAGTTTCCATCATTGCATTTCTCTTCTGAAATATCTTTGTGAAAAACAAAATTAAAAAAACCTCACCCTCCTGTTTAATAACTTCACAAAGAATGGAGAAATGACAAGCTATGATTTATAGTGAGCCACTGGAAAAACAAGCATTTTTGCGCATGAAATAAAGGAATGCAGTAGATGACAAAGAAATTAAATAATTATGAATGGTGACTGACTATAAAATCTAGGCATATGGATGTATCAATTATATATTTATTATATGGCTGCACTTTGTAACTCCTATTGGGAATAAATTCCTACATAACAAATAATTTCAACAACTTCTAAAATAATCTGTCCTAAATTTTCAAAAATCTGTTTCACAGTTGCAAGTCTAATCCAGCTGGCTAAAATTACACATCTATTCAATTTAAATGTTTCCAGCAAGGGAGATTTAAGACACTAAAATCTGTTTTGCACTTAATCAGGAGCATGCAAATGGGTCGCCTCGGTTCACTCCCTTAAGCATGCAACGACATCTTCAACATACAAGAAATATTACGGATGTAAGCCCTCCCCTTGCTGCTTCTGCAGACGCAGGGGAGGGGGGAGAACAGGAGCCAGTGCTGGGGAGAGCTCACTTAAAAGCTGGTTCCTCCCCAGCATCATCTCCCAGGTGTCGACTGTCCCGTCCTTTCCTTCCCTCCCCCCCGCACTGCTGCCCTTATCTTACTACATTTAAAATTCAGAGTCACAGCAGGGATAGCTCCTGGACCAGGGCGAGCAAATTTAGTCTAAGAGAAGATGCTCTGATCATGTAGTTGATACAAATTGTATCGACTACATACTTAATCAATTACCCACCTCTTAACATCTTTAGTAAATGATTCATCCTAAGTGATGCATGCATTGTAATTGTAGCTGTATCAGACCCAGGGTATTAGAGAGAGAAGGTGGGTAGGTAATATCTTTTATTGGACCAACTACTGTAGGTGTCTTTTCCCAAAAGAAATTGGTCTAGTAAAATATATGATCTAACCCATCTAGCCTCTCTAATCTTACCTCATGTATTTGCATATGAAAGTGGTCATATTCATAGATGTTATTTGGCTATAGACCAACAAGACTACATGGCAGGCGGGGGG